TTAAGCTAGAATACTGTATGTCAGAAAACAATATAGCAGATCATTTTACAAAGGCCCAAGGCTCTGTAAAGCATAAGGCTTGCTGTGAGGATTATGGACTTAGAATGTAAGGTTGTATATATTTTCTTACCCAAAAGGGGAGAATGTTAGGAATGTAAGTCACTTAACAGCTATTTGGGTGGACAATATATAAACCAGGATAGACATTTTAATACTGTATCTTTAAGAGAATCCTAAAAGTGAAATTGGGTGTGGTTTCTCAAATGGCCATAAGATGGAGCCAGAAACCTGGGTTGTTTAATTTTAGTCTCAGAAGAGAATGTGTCTCAATGAGTCTCTCTGTTTTCCTTCTGTTGGAGAGTATTGCTGTTCCACCATTTTTCCTAATTGACTGTTATTCTTGGATTTGATGTAAGTCTGATACTGAACTGTTTATGACACTGGACTTCGTTATTGGATTATTCCTGGACTGAAAACTGACTGATCTTACCTGTGAATGACTTTGGACTGCTTATCGAACTTTGCTTAAACATTTCTGGAAGTAAAACCTACATTTACTGTACAGTGTATCTGTGTGCTGTGTGTGTATTATTCAAACACTTCCCTCAAATATGTCTCCCTGTATGTGCTCATTCTCCTAACGGGGAATTACCTTAACAATTTATCCGGGCCATATCTATTCTTGATCAGGATTTATGCAGGTTGGAGTAGAAAGGTGAATTTAGTTTCTCCTGGGTTCATTTTCCTCCATATATCTAATAGGATCAATTCTTCCGATATTTCAAAAAAAGTCTTTGTTAATGTGTTCTTTTCTTTCTGCACTTGTGTTCACTGGCGTAGTCTTCTCAAATGTTTACAACTGCATTATAATCTCCAATTATACATATATTTTGGTTTCTTATTTCAATAAGTTTGTTATGTATGGTTTTATAGAACTCACTTTGGTTTTTATTAGGTGCATATATCCCTACTAATAAAATACTTTTATTTTCTATAGATACTTCCACCATCAATAACCTCCCTTTCATATCATTATATATTAATTTTGAGACTATTTCTTCCTTAATATATATTGCTATCCCCTTTTTTTCTTCTGCTAATGTTGTATATAATCTTCCTATTTTTTATTTTGTAAATATCATTCATCCTGTTTCTTGATGTGCAGTTCTTGGAGGCCTACTATATAATTCTTCTGTTTCTCTATTTTAGATAATAATCTTCTTTTTGTTGGTATATTTAGTCCATTCACATTAATCAACAAAAGTTTCAATCCCCATTCCATTTTTATGTCCATTCTGGTTTTTATCTTCTATTTACTCTAGTTTCTTCTTTGGCTTCTGTTTCTAACTTCTTGATCCACTGTCCTCTCGCTATTCCCTTTCTCTTGGTCCTTCTCTTTATTCTCTTTATTCTCTCTTCTCAAAGTTCTCCTTGGCTTAGTATATCCAGTTCTTCCTACTGCCACTTTCTTCTTCAGATCTGACTAGTTGCTCATAGAAATCTTGACCTTTCTCCAGGTTATCCATTTTTATTTTCTTATCATTCCATGTAATCAATATCCATCGAAATAGAATATTCTTTTTATTTAGATGGTTTGCCAAAAATTGGTAGTCTTTTCGTTGTTCGCGTACTCTCTTTGGTATCTGTTTTAATATGACTATTTCTTTTCCCTTGTAATTTATTGGTTCTTCCCCAGTAATTTTATAAATTATGTCCCTTAATTTCCTTCCTTCAAGTCTTATATGGACCTCTCTAGGGAGTCTGTGGTGTCTGGCATAGCTGGTATATGCCCTATAGATACCATCAATTTCATTAATCCTCTCTTGTCTGTCTCTTTGTAAGGCGTCTGCCATCAATTCAGCCATCAAAATTGTTAGTTCTTCCTCTTTTGATTCTATTACATTTTGAAATCGTAATAAAAACAAAGCTCAGTCCATTTCAAGATGGATGAGGGATTCTTCCACTTGTGTACTGCAATCTTCAGATCCATTTCCTCTAATTTCTTTTCTGTCTGTTCTGTTTGCAGTTCAATTGTTTTTATCCTCTCCTCATTTTTCTTAATTGTTTCTTGAATAGACCCCATCTTTTATTTTAGCTGCAGGGAGACAACATATCTCTCTGGATAGACTGTCTGGTCTACAGATGGCTGGCTCTGTTCCCTTGAGAATTGAATCTATCACCTGCACTTGCTTTTTTTTTTTCCCAAGGGAGAGTTAGGGTATTTTTCTATCTGTCACAGAAGCATTTGAGGGTGCTACTTTTAAAGGGACATTTGATGGTGCTTCTTTTCTATTTGTCTGCATGTTTTCTTCCAGGGAGAGTCCATAAAATCGATTGTTTAGCAGCAGTGGTGCTGCATTAGCATGGGAATAAACTTTGACTTGGGTATTGGGTAATGATTAGTCTAAGACCTTATACATACATGCTTGCTTAAAGGTCACTGAGATAGTGTAAGGAAATTAAGAACAAACACTAGAAACAATCAAGCAGCTCAGACAACTGTAAACAAGTCTGTACTATATCTAATTATTGTAATCCACATTGTGACTATACTTGCTATGCTAAAAATCTCAATAAAAGGGAGCACTGGAATTTGCTCTGGGCTCTCATCCCGAGAACACTCGCTTGTATCTCATCTTTTCCATGAGAGACCACCACAAGTGGTGACCCCGACGTGATCCACTGCAGGTGGTACGTGTCCGGACCTCTGTGTTTCCTCGCCTGGAATAGGTAAAGTACGTACTTAACTATTGCTGGACAATAGGATTTTTCAGGGAACATGGGGGGAAAACTTTCTCAGCCACAGGAACGTCATGTTAGTGAGCTGCTGAAGTTAGTCAGGACAAATTTCTTTCTCTTTAAACCTTCTGGAGGGGAGCATATAGTTCTTTCAAGAAGTAATGTGAAAAATCTGCTGCAAGAGATCTGGCGGCAATGCCCCTGGTACTCAGAGAAGGGCTCTTTAAAGTTAGACACGTGGAGGAGAATTGGAACTATCCTTCATGAGGAACCACGGGCAACAGCTGAAATTTTGACATATTGGAAGGTTGTTATGACTGCTTTAGAGACCCAGCAACAACCTCTTTTAAAACCTTTAGCAGAACTTCCTCCTTATAAAGGAGTTGTGTTGCACCCTCCGACTCCAAAGCTGGAGTATGTTTTCTCACCCCCAACAGCGCCTACGCCTGTGGATGAGAAACCCCAGCCACAAATGGGAAAAGTTCAAGCAATGATGCATCAAGCTTTCAATGAGGGGAAATTAGAACCTGATGAGATTCCCTAGATGAATTTGTTTCCAGTTAATAGGCAAATGGATGCTCAAGGCAACATGCAGGCGGAATGGGTTCCAATTCCGTTGGCAGTACTTAGGGAAATCAAGAAAGCTGTTAAAGATTATGGTATTCAAAGTCCTTTTACAAAGGGTCTTCTGACAAGTTTGGCTACCTCACGCATGATTCCTAATGATTGGAAAGATTTAATAAGAATGATATTGAGTTCTACTCAGTATGTGGTTTCTGATTCAGAGTACCAAAGGGAAGCTATCACTAGGGGACAGAATTCAGGGGGGCTGTATACGCCAGACCAAATCTATGGGGCAGGCTTGTTTGAATCCACTGCTGATCAAGCTACTAATTTGCCTGATCCCACACTTCCCGTGGTTATGGCGGCTGTCCTTGGGGCGTTGTCCCGCAACCAGGATGTGGGAACCCCGGCACGGTCTTTTTCTCAAATTAAGCAAACAGCATCTGAGTCTTATAATGATTTTGTGGAAAGACTACAATTGGCTATTACCCGGCAAATCTCCAATGAGGAAGCAGCAAAGGAACTTTTGCTGAGATTGGCAGTCGAAAATGCAAACGCTGACTGCAAGCGTATCTTACAGCCTTTGGTGGCTAGAGATGAGGTTACTCTGGCTGATCTGTTAAAGGCATGTGCAGTGGTGGGTTCTCAGGCTTACAACATGGAGACTTTGGCTATGGCATTACAAAGAGGGATGAAATCTACGGGGAACTGTTTTAATTGTGGGAAGCCTGGCCATTTTAAAGCCCAATGCCAAGCCCCGGGGGGGGGGGAATGGCGTTTAACAAAAACAAAAATAAGGACGTCCGCCCGAAGTCGGTCTGTCCAAAATGCAAAAAAGGGTTTCATTGGGCAAATCAATGTCGCTCTGATCAGAACCAAAATTCGGGAAACTAAATTTGGGGCTCCCAAGGCTGTTACAAAGGCATCGCCCGCAACTACTGGGAATGCAGGTTTGTGTTTAAAAATGTTGCACTCGATTGATGTGACTTTTCCTAATCAAGTGTACATTGAGGACACTCATTTGCATGGGCCACTGCCAGAAAAAACAGTGGGATTGGTACTTCCCAGGTCTTCTGCATCAAAAAAAGGGTTCTTTGTTATTCCAGGGGTTATTGATCAAGATTATAAAGGGGTTATTAAGATACAATTGTACACTGATACTCCTGCATCATTAATGGCCGGTGAATCTATTGCCCAGTTATTATTGCTTCCATACATTTCTATGAATCCTTTAATTGGGATCCCACGAACTGGTGGTTTTGGGTCCACTGAAATGGCCAGTTCTCCAGTTGCTGCAGAATTGCTAGCACTGACAAAAAATTTGACTACAGACCAACCAAAAATGACAATTGAAATTCAAGGAAAATCATTTTCTGGCCTTATAGATTCCGGAGCAGATGTCTCTGTGATACGCCAAAAGGAATGGCCAAATGAATGGGCGCTTAAAGACTCTCCAGCTTTTCGTGGCATAGGTGGTATGCAGTTTGCAAGAAGTAGTGTACATTGGTTGATGGCATTGCATAGAGCAACTGGTGAGACCGCAAGGATTCAACCTCTTGTGTTGCCCCTGCACATAAACTTGTGGGGTAGAGATTTGCTGTCACAGTTCCGCACAAAAATTGTTATTGGATAATGGAAAAGTTACAACTGTTAACTTCTCAGCCAGTTTGGATTGACCAATGGCCACTTCCACAGGAAAAACTTGTAGCTTTACATCAATTGGTAGCTGAGCAGCTACAATTAGGCCACATTGAGCCAACTTCTAGTCTGTATAACACTCCTTCATATAAAAACAAAAATGGGGGAAGTGAATGGATATGGTTTGCCTTACATACAAAACATTCTTAATATTACCTTATACACTTTAAATTTTTTAAACATAACAGGATCTCCTGCTGCTACGGCAGCCAGTAGGCATTTTGCTTCCTCCCCTTCTGCAGGTACGCCAAGACCGAAAGTTTGGTATAGGAGACTGCCAGATCCAACGTGGAGAGGACCGGTCCCGCTGATAACTTGGGGCTGAGGATACGCTGCCATTGAAGATGAGGGGACAGTTGTTTGGGTTCCTGCTCACTGTGTGCGTCCTTATCATCAGCCAAAGGGGCAAGGTGGTGGATTTGGGGGAATGGAAAAGAAACACGTTGATCCAGGACATGGAGAAACTAGCAAACCTTCATAATAAAACTGATTGTTGGGTATGTATGCACATGCCAACTCACAAAACATCAGGGCTTCCAATGGTTGCAGTACCTCTGCCCGAAGGCAATTGGTATAAGGAACAATGCTATGGTTGTTCGGGGACGTGGTCTAGCAGTTGGACTACAAGTAACATAAATACCTTACACCTTGGAAGTCGGATCCAAGAGGTGGCGGGTATCTGCTGGACCCACAATGAGACAGTAGAGAATATGACTTACTTGGGAACATATCCATTTTGTAACAAAACAATTGTTATTGGTAATGGAAGTCGGGTTTATTCGGGTGACATGAAAACAAAAAATCTTACTTACTTTGTACACAACATTTCTTATTTTGATATCATATCTTTGATCAATGAAAATGGGTGTCCATATATTCCTGCCACATGTTGTCCCACCACGAAAGAAAACCAGCTGCCTAAATGTGCAAATGGGAATAATGCACCATCGTCCACTTATTTGGCTATGTTAATGGAGTCCTTTGCAAAACTAATCTATGCTGAGCCAAATAAGGTTGGTCATCTCCTGGGAGCAAATCTATGGTTGCTGTGTGGACGGATGGCCTATGATCACATGCCAGCACGATGGAAAGGGGTCTGCACCTTTGGGAAAGTAATCCCATCTCATGTCATTTTAAAATCTTTGGGGACTGCTCATATCCACAATGCGCGTTCTGCAACGGAAGTAAACTCTGTTTTGATCCATGACTACTGGACACAAATATCAAGGGGAGTTATTCCCCCTTTAGGAGTCATGATGAACTATAGAGATTTACATCGTTTAAATAATTGGACAGTTACTATGTTTAAAGACACCATTAAAACACTAAAGCTGCTTGAAGAAGAGCAAGGCAAAATTCTTGACTTTGTCCTGCAAACCAGATATGCGGTGGACACTATTTTGGCTGCGCAAGGGGGAGTTTGCGCTGTGGTTCATACGCATTGTTACATGTATATCTCTGATTATTCTCCAAACATTACAGCTACTATACAGCATATGGAGCGAACCTTGAAGGAGAATCCATTACAATCAGAGGGTGAGGGACTGGATGTCTGGTCTGCACTTTGGTCCTGGTTGCCAGATGGTTCATGGATTCGTCACCTAATTCTTGGAGTGATATTGCTTATTATATTTTCTCTTTGTGTATGCTGTTGTATCCAATGTCTCCCTGGACTTTTAGGAATGTGTCAGGTGAAGCCTATGGAAGGAGAACTGCTGTTGCAGATGGCGAAAAGCTACCGAGGCATCCGCGATCATCAAAAAACTAAAACAGGGGAGATGTGGGAATAAACTTTGACTTGGGTATTGGGTAATGATTAGTCTAAGACCTTATACATACATGCTTGCTTAAAGGTCACTGAGATAGTGTAAGGAAATTAAGAACAAACACTAGAAACAATCAAGCAGCTCAGACAACTGTAAACAAGTCTGTACTATATCTAATTATTGTAATCCACATTGTGACTATACTTGCTATGCTAAAAATCTCAATAAAAGGGAGCACTCTGGGCTCTCATCCCGAGAACACTCGCTTGTATCTCATCTTTTTCATGAGAGACTACCACGTATTAGAGTGGGTTGGTTTGGACAGGGGTTTTGTACTAGGTTTGTGGTTTTTGGGAGGTGATATGTTTCCACCTGTCTTCTTCCTCTAAGAGGTCAATTCTTTTAGAAGTTGTTGATCATTATTATGTTCAATTTGGGCATATTTTTTGGCAAGGTTTGGGGTTTCTCATTTTGTGGGTTGAGTTTCAGACTGGTTAGAGTTTCCTCTAGATCAGTGGTTCCTAAACTTTTTCAGTCCACTGGCCCCTTGGTGCTACAAACTCATCCTCAGTGCCTCCCACCCAGGGGTGGGATTCAAATTTCTTAACAACTGGTTCTGTGGGCATGGCTTGGTGGTCAAGTGGCTGGGTGGGTATGGCTTGCTGGCTGGGCATGGCTTGGTGTTCACGTAACCGGGTAGGTGTGGTTTGATGGCCATGTGACTGCAAACCAAATAAAAGTGGTCCTCGCTTAATGGCCTGTTGCTTAACAAGTGTTCTAATTTATAACTGACTTCCCTAGAGCTACTTGACCTGTTTTTGGAGTTTTGATAGCCATGCAAATACACACACACACGCACTCCCTTCTAATTCTACTGGAGCAGGTAGTTGGACTAGATAGTTCATTCACTTTCTCCTCCGTCCCTTTCTTTTTTCTTTTTTCTTTCTTTCTGTCCCTTCCTTCCATCCCCTCTCTTTCTTTGTCTATCCCTTTTCTTCCTTTCTCTCTCCATTTTTCTTTCCCTTTTCTCTTTCTTTCCTTTCTTGTCTCTTTTCTCTCTCTCTTTCTCTTTTTTTTTCTCTCCTTCCCCCCCCCCCTTCTTTAACCTATCTACCTTTTTTCTGGAAAAATCTTTGATTTTTGCTCCAGGGAGACAACACACCTCCCTAGTTTGTATGTCTTGTCTGCAGATGACTGCTACTGTTCCTTTGGGAATAGAAATTCCTATCACCAACACTTGCCTTCCTTTTTGGGGGGTGCAGTCTAGGGTGTTTTTCTGCTTATCCCAGGTGAGTTTGTTGATGTGACTTTTTAAGGGATATTTGATGATGTCTTTTTTCTCAGTGTTTGCATGTTTTCTTTGAAGAAAGGGGAGATTGTGAATCCGAATATTTTCAACCAGGGGGAGACATTAGTTGCTCAGTTTTAATGGGGCTGCTTTTGGTTGTGTTAGATTGGGAAGCAGGGTTTGTTAGATGTATACTGCTTCTTTCTTTGATTATTGTGTTTCTTTCTATACCTCCATTAGTCTTTCTCCAGGGGTTTATTTTATTTATTTTTATTTATTTATTCTATTTTGTCAATTGCTTACAAAATAATAGGTATAAGTAAAAACATAGTTATGAATACATGGATATATATAAGAAAAACATAAAAGAAAAATAAAAGAAACAATAGGACAGGGACGGTAGGCACGTTGGTGCGCTTAAGCACGCCCCCTACAGACCTCTTAGGAAAAGGGTGAAGTCAATAGTAGACAGTCTAAGGTTAAAGTTTCTGGGGTTTGGGGAAGAAACCACAGAGTCAGGTAGAGTATTCCAGACATTGACCACTCTGTCACTGAAGTCGTATTTCCTGCAATCAAGTTTGTTGCGATTAACCTTGAGTTTGTATCTATTGTTTACTCTTGTGTTGTTATGGTTGAAGCTGAAGTATTCATTGCAATGTATGATTTTATATACTATACTTAGATCGGTCTGAAGGCAGCCTAGTTTTAGGTTTTCTAGGTCTAGACTTTCGAGTCTGGTGGCATAAGATAATAAGGTAGGGGAGTGGAGAACTCTTCTTGCAACGAGTAGGGGAGTGGAGAACTCTTCTTGTGAAATATTTCTGGACTTTCTCAACTGTGTTAATATCAGATACGTAATGTGGGTTCCAGACTGATGAGCTGTATTTGAGTACTAGCAAATGTTTTGTATGCTCTAGTTATTAGTGTATTATCCGCTGGGTCAAATCCTCTGTGAGTTATTTGTTCATTATTTGGTTCAATTTGGACATAGCTTTCTTGTGTAATTTGGAATATGGCTAGAGCTGCCTTTAGATCCCTTACTTTTTCCTCTAGTAGTTCACATAGCTTACATTTAACACATGTATAATGTGGGTGTTATATGGTCATAAGCACATACATGGAACATATATTGCATACCACAATATCAGTCACCTGTTTCATGAGTTTGTTTCTTTTTGCTGGTTCTTTTAAGGGTAAAAAGTTTTGTATCTTTTTTTTCCTATCCTTTTTGTGCTTGTTATTTATTTTACTTGTTTACTATTATGTTAGTTTTATTTCTTCCATATATTTTTAAAAAGTTTTTGAGCTCCAGTTCCCCCTATCTTATTAAGATTTGCTTTATTTATTTGATTGAACTTTATTAATCATATTCTTCTTTGATTTCTAATTTTTCACTTTTATCCTTATTATTTTCCTATTTATTTATCTTTTATTTTATGTCCTGTATTTATTTTTGTTTTCTTCTGGGATCTTTCCTCCATGCCTATAGGAACCTCAGGCTTCATTTGCTGCCTTCATTTCTATTGTTCACTGCTCCGGCCTGTTGTTTTCTCTGCCAGCTCTTTCTGTCCTTTAGTGTTTAGGTCTTTTCAGCCTTGTCCCTGCTCCAGTAGCTCTTTTGGCCATGCAGCTTTCCGGTCAACTCAGCTCTGCTGTCTGGTCTGCTCCACTAAGCCCTCCACTCAGTCCCACTGTCTTTTTCCCCATTGCTCTCTGCGCTGCTGTCAGGCTCTGGTTCATTGCGTTGCCCTGTACTGATGTTGGCTCTGTCTCCTCCCTGCTGCTCTGCTGCTCTGGAGCCAGGTAAGTCCTGTTTGCTTGTCTGTGACAGGATGCTGCAGCAAACAGGACTGCGTGGATGGTCCCCAGCAAGCTCATCTCTTTTCCCTTCCTCCCTGCTCTGTTCTCTCATCTGCTTGATGGTCCACAGCAAATTCACCACTCCTCTCCTGTATTCCTCACTACTCTGCTCTCTCACCAACTTGCCTCTTTGTTCTCTGCCAATCATTGCATTGCCCTCAGTCTGTGGCCTCTCTGCCCCATAGCTGATTTTCCTCCCTGCTCCACAGCTGGCTCCATTTGCTCATCAGCTCGCCTCTTTATTCTCCACTGGTTGGCTTTGCTGCCTGCAATTGGTTTGTCTTTTCACTCACCTCACTTTGATGGACCTCTGGTCTCTTGGGTAGGCCTCTAGGGTGCAGCTGGGCTTCTCTCAGGCCTCTTGGGTGCAGCTGGGGTTCTCTCTCTCTTAATTTCTCCAATCTTCCTCTCCTTTTCCTTTCTTTTTCTTTTTCTATGACTTATCTTTCCCTCTTCACCTCTCCTCCTACCATTTTATTTTAGATTAGTAGTAACTTTTCTACCCACAATGTGACTATGCTTCCTCCATCTTTGAACCATCTCTAATGTACATATTTTTATCTTACCTAGTAGTAGATTGTACTTTACTTCATCAAATGCCTTACTGATTTGACAATAAATCTTTACTTATTTTTCTTTCTCTACAACCTTCTTTCTCTGCAAGAGAGGGAGAACCTGATAGCCCTAATGGATCAGGGAGTTAGTATAAGATCTATTGTATAGTGCAAATAATATTCAAGTAATGCCCATTACTGTAGAAAATTGGGATGTTAAATGAACCACATCATTAATAACCCTCCCATTCCTGTTATCCACAATGAATTCATTAAATTCATTAAATGAATGCATGGCTCTAAGTGTACTTGAGGTACCTCAGGATGACCCTGGAGGGCTTAGTGAGGGTATAAACCCATCTGCCATGGGCCTTTCCAAGCTTCCACTCCCCCGAGTTATCCCATGCTCCACTTTGGTGGCCTATAGTCACTTGGGCCTCCTCCATCCCTCACAATCACTCACTTACCTTGCAATGATCTGCAGGGCTCAGGAGGTGGGAAAAGGGAAGGAAACAGGCCTCTCTTGGTAGACCACATGGGAGAATTCAACAAGCAGCATCTGCCAACAATCCATTCTCCCCACCCTCTGAGAGCTAGCTCAGATTTCAAGACAGGGATTCTCTGCTTGGATGCTTTGCTAGTGAAATAAATATTGTACCTCAAGACCAACCTGTACTTTTAGAGCAGCTAAACAAGCCTTGGAAAAGACATAGTGGTATTAGTGTTTTATTTTAAAAATGCTTTCTCTGTTCTATTGTATGTTTCAAAGCACTGTAAAATAAGTAATACTTGAGTATATATACTTAAGATCACAGTGTAAAGATAATAACTATATATTAAGTTCTCCCAATTTAACTGTTTTGAAACTTGTGAATTAATGTGACCTGGGTTCAAGTCCACGCAGCAATGGAAACTCATAAATGACTAGGCACTCTTAACTTGTCTTACCTTACACAGTTGTTCATGAATAAAATAGAGGGAAATCTTCATGTAATCTACAATTACCATATTTTCCAGAGTATAAGAGGCTCCAAAGTGTAACAGACACCTAGCTTTTCGGGAGGAAAACAAGAAAAAAAATCTGCCTCTGCCTCCAGCAATTTGCCTTCTTGCAGCAAACAGCAAACAGCCTGTTTCAGCTTCAGCACAGCCTGATTAGTACAAGCAGCTGATTGTTGATTGGATCAGCCTCGCAATGATCAGCTGTTTCAGGCTGCAGGGATTGCCATAGCCTATTGCCACCTCCACCACCCCATTTTCAACCTCCACATCCTATTTTCAGCCTTTGCATGTCCCATTTTTGGCCTCCATGTGCCCCATTTTTGCCCCATTCCAGGCGGTGGAGATCAGAACAGGTGGAAAATGGGGTATGCTGAGGCCAAGAACGGGGTGCGCTGAGGCCAAAAATGGGATGCGAAGGCCAAAAATGTGGCATGCAGGGGTGGCAATAGGCTATGGCCATCCCTGCAGCCTGAAACAGCTGATCATTAGGAGGGAGATCCAACCGACAATCAGCTGCTTGTGCCAATCAGGCTGTGGTGAAGCTGATACGGGCTGTTTGCTGCAAGGAGGCAAATTGCTGGGAGGTAGAGGCCAAATAATGGGGGTGGTACTTCGGCAACATCCACTGTATAAGACACACAAACATTTCCACCCACTTTTGGGGGTGGAAAAAGTGTGTCTTATACTCCAAAAAATACGGTAACTTCTAGTGGAATGGCCTAATAATCAGCTAGCATATAATTTTTAAAAAGTATTAACAAATCCATTGGGTATAATAAAGAAGTAAAATGTATAAAATTTAATTGAAATTTGAAACAGAGGAAGAATAGATTAAAGAATATATAATAGACTAGGCTAAGAATTTTGGCAGATACACCAATGGGTAAATAAAAGAGTAAAAAGTGAACTTTATGTTCAGATTTTAAGAGAGTTTTTTAAAAATAATATATCTTTGAAACTAAACATCATGCCAGAGAAGTATCTAGAATGTGAACAACATGAAAGCCGTTTAAGCAAGTTGGTGTAAAAGCTTTAAAAAAGCTTTTGTAAAAGCTTTAAAAAACATATACATTGATACAAAATATTTTAAAGATTAATGTTCAGTTGAAGTCAGAACATTTCCTTTCAGGATTAATGGATAAAGAGTTAAAAAAAACCCACTGAAGATTATTTCAGTATTTATTACATTATTTTATTATATTATTATTAATATATATATATTATTTCAGTATTATTTCAGCTGTGTTCAGAGACTGACGGCGGTCCTCACTCCGGTCCATCGCCCGAGCGGGAGCGCCGACCGCTCCCATTGGCTGATGCTGTTTGACAGCCGGCTATAAAAGGAGCTGTCAAACGGCATCAGCTGTTGCCACCAGCTGACTGCCAGTTAGCTCCAGCAGCCGCGGCAACCCTTTATTCGAGCGAATGAAGTCTTTTAAAAAGTCAAGCCTGTGTCCGTCTCAGTATCTGCCACCGCTCTACAACAATTATTGTGCAAGATTACTATATGCACAAAGATGGAACAATTCAGCACTACCCACTATGGAAGAATGGTTGGTGAAACTAACAGAACTTGTTGAGATGGGCAAACTGACTTCTTTGATTAGAGAAAGGACAAGATCTTATACGGATTGGTCTTATCCATAGAATTTGAAAAACATGAACTTCTCATTTGTGATGTTAATGATTAAATACGGTAGAATATATAATGAAGAGAGTCATATAATTTTAGAAAGGTATTAAAATATAATTGCACTTATAACTGATGTGACAAATATTGGAAGCTGTTAGGAATGTAAGTCACCTAACAGTTGGGTTGGAAAATATATAAACCAGGATAGACATTTTAATACTCCCTCTTCAAGAGAATGCTAAAATTGTAATTGGGTGTGGTTCCTCAAAACGGCCATAAGATGGAGCCAGAAACCTGGGTTGTTCTGTTCTCTTGTTGCTGAGAGTGTTGCCTTTCCTGCATTTCCCTATTGACTGTTGCTGATCATTGTTATTTTTGGGTTTGATGTAAGTCTGTTACTGAACTGTTCTTGATACTGGACTTTGTTATTGGATTATCCCTGGACTGCAAACTGACTGCTTTAACTGTGAATGACTTGGACTGTTTGTTGAACTTTGCTTAAATGTTTATTGGAAGTAAAAACCTACATTTTTACTATACAGTGTATCTGTGTGCTGGTTGTGTGTTATTCTTCACCATTCTCACTACGTCTCCCTGTGTGCACTCATTCTCCTAAAGGGGAATTACCTCAACAGAAGCTACTCCTGTATACCTCTGCATCTCTTGGTATGTGTCTCTTTTTTTCTATTTTCTTTTCTTATGCACATTTAGCTTTTTCTTTTATTGCTCTCTGTTTTTTGTTTTTTATTCTAATTTACTTTGCAATAATTCTTATTCCATTTAAAACCTTTAATAAAAATATGTAAACAATTGAGAATAAATTATGCTGAAAATAAAAATTATACTGAAGTACAAATGCAATTCTTGTTTTTCAGTGCAAAATTGTTAAGTGGACATAGAGTTCATTGCTCTAGTAAGAAGTGAAATTATTAACCAAAACCTTTTTCTAGCCTTTTTGAACTTTTATTTTTTGTCTTTTTGATCCACCCACTTGTGAATTGTTTGGATATCAGAATGAGTCTACAGACTATATTCCCATCCTTTTCCAAAAAAGTGCTTAAATAAAAACATGAAAATGCTTCCACTTTTGTACTGAAGTGTGGAAAACTATTATATAGGATTATAAGTGATACTAAATTTATGACTTCAGCAATTAAAATAAATTTTATAATTAGTATTTTAAAAACTACTTATATCCTCGTATCACTCCACATTTTACTGAATTTACAATTTACTGAATTTACAATTTACTGAAAAAAAACAGTACTGCACATATTTCCTTTATGCAACATAATTATATAGCATATCACATTAACACTATACGTCAAAAATTGTATTTCAAACTGAGGGGGTATAATAACAGTGTTTTTGTATTAGAAGGGAGTTGTGTGGCTGTGACGGGATTCCACTCTGTCTGGAGGAGTGTCAGCCAGGCCACCCATGCCTCAGTGCTCTTCCCTCCCCCACCCAGCACAACTGCCATGGGGTTGCAGTGGCCGGCCTGACACTGGAAAGGCACATATGCCCCCCTGACTGAACTCTGTTATGGTTAGTCCAACCCCATGCTCTAAGATTGGCTCAACTGCTGCCTCACTTCAAAGCTCTGCATCTTTACCCCATGCACCCCATTGTATGTATCAAACATCCTGTCATACTCCTGCATGCTTGCTGCCTGCTCTACATAGAAAAAAAAACCAAGACATCTCCCCAAAATAAGCCCTGCTGCCTATTTTTTAGCCCAAAAATTTTATCCAAAGAGAGAGGTGTGACTAGCACTGCAGCAGCTGAGAGACAGGATTCCACAAGCTCCATGGAAATGATCAAAATTCCCCTGCCTGGGCGTCTCTGGAGACCCTAGCCAACCCTGTAGAGCAGCACAGAGAGCTTGCAAATCCCTGTAGGAGCAGAGGAAAACTTCTCAGACTGGCATGCAAACAGTCATTACGAGCTGTCAGAAGTGGCGGCAGCCAGACCAGGAAGTTAAAAGGAGAAGATTGTGGAGCAGTGTGCTGAGATTTAGTTGACCTATACTTCAAAAGAAAAGAAAAGAATTAGTTCTCCCTTAAATTGGATTAAATCAAAGTGAAATCAAGAGAGAGTAAAGAATAGGGGGAGGGACTTAACCTTCCACCTCCAGAACTGGCAGCGAGAAGGCATTCAGCAATTAAGAAGGGGGAAAGTTAGAAAGAATTTACCATTTTTGCCACAAGAAGAATGGAAGAGAGAGGAGGCTAAGATACTAGTGAGGTTGAGTCTCTGTTGTTCTCGCTACAAAAATTTTGGAACTTTTGGCTGTGAAAAGAAAAAGTTTCTAAATTTAAAAGATAAGGAGGATCAATTAAAACAAAGGAAACAGAACAGAACAAGTGCGCCATCTACTGGTTCTTGCTGGCACAGAAAGTGTTTAAAGTGAAAGGGCTTGTGAATAGACATGGCCTTGAGATGTGAATTATAGTGAATGGAACATGAAGACCCTTTTGACATCTGTAACTTGTTTAATCTGGGAGGCTGGAACAGAGAATGGAAGAACCACGACTGTGCAAAATTAACAGCTCTCTGGCTCTAGCGGATAATAAACTGGAACCATTTTGAACAGAATACTTTTGGAACACTTTTGAACACTTTTGAATTGCTATCTGCCATTCTTCAATAGTAGGAGAAGCAGGGTGGGGGGGAGGTTGGTACAAGTAATCCTTTTTGATGTAACCTGAATATCTTAATTCTTATACTGAACCTGTATAACTTGCACATGATATACAACTGGGGACTGGAGCACAGATGTCTGGGAACTTGTTACTTCTTGGAGAGATAGCAAGAGGAGAAGGGGCTATAAAAATTTCAGCTCTGAAAGAAACTTCCTGGGAAATGCTTATTAATTATGTTCCCAGAAAAAAAGGGGCAGGGATTAACATGTTACTTCTTTGTATTGATGAAATCCACATCAGACTAAGGGGAGGGGTTCTAACTCCCTTTATCTATACTGCATGCCTGGAGGCATATTAGATCCTGCTTTGACTATCACCTGGATAACTTCCTTTTCAATAAAAAATTCCTTTTGAAATATCCAGTTTTCAGAAGTTCATTCTTATCGTTTGAGGGGGAGAGAGTCTGAGCCTTACAGGCTATGTGTATGTATGTTCCAGCGTAACACTGTGCCTCGAGCAATTTCAATCAAACTTGGTACACAGATGACTTACACTCTGGAAACAAATACTGTGAAGAATAAGACATCCCTAACACCCTTTGGTGTGTGTGTGTGTGTGCGTATCCCTTAAAATGGCTTCTGCCATGGTAACGGCTTCACAGGGCTCCCTCTTGTGGAGGGAAAATGCAAAATGTATGGGATACTGCCAAGGCATATTTCAGAGGGTTAGTGATCTCCTATATAGGAAGGAAAAATAGGGGAAAGAAGGAGAGAAGAAAGTAATTAGAAGAAGAATATAAAGGATTAGAA